AAGCAGAGTGGATCCCATCTCAACAATACCATACCACTAACATCCAGTAACACTCAACTAAAAGTGGGAATGGAGGATCAGACCAACTGTATTTAGCTACAGAAAACTGGGATCCAACTCTAATATTGTCACTTTTCCATCCAAGAGTAAATTTAGCAATAATACATGTTTAATGCTTGGTGAAAACACAAGATCAAAGAACCCCTAAAGAACAGTCAGTGCATTTCAGACTGGTTATCCAAAGGATGACTCTATGGACATGAGAGCCAGAAAGAATTTGGACACTGAATTTTTGAGTGAAAATACATTTTTTTAATTATCCAATGGGCACAAAGTTTAGAATAAGTGTCCTGGGAAATTAAAAATTCATATACTCAGGGACATTTATGCTGCCTTCACTAAGCCAAATAAATCACCATGAACAACATGCATGAGGCTGATAAAGCAAGGAGTTAGGAGAACTTCAAGAGAGTGTGATTGTAAGAAAATGCTCAGAATAGAAATGTACAGAGTTTGCTTGTGGCTTGAATAATAGAATTGGAGTGCACTTGTAGTATACATAATATATGTAAAGGACAACCACAGTGAAAACATCCCCTGGTAATACTAGGAATAATTCTAATAGCTTTTAAAGGATTCAAAAACAAATAGAGAAGCTTGTATAGAAGAACTTCAGAATTGGTATGAACCCAGAAAAACTCCATTATATTGCAGGAGAGAAGAGTGACAAGATTTTTCTGGTAGCACATAACTACATGATGTAGAGCTCAAATGTATATATTGCATAGTGTCTCACATCCCAAGCTGATCCTTTTACATCAGTAAAAAGGCTGGAGCAACACAAAGGGACTCAAAAAGGCCTGACTGTTTGTGAGAGAATTCCTCTGGCACAGGATCTGAAGAAGACAGTCACAGGCTGTCTCCTGAGGACTTTTTCACAAGATCTGACATGAGTTTGCCAGGGTGTGTCTGGAGAGGTATGTAAGGGATGGAGCCACAGCATCTACAACTGTAAAGATTCTGGGCGGGGCTGCTGTCCATAGGCAGCCAGAGTCAGGCTGCCATAACATGCACAGTCACACAGTACTGTCTAGGGCATGTCTATGATACCCCTCAATTCAGACTGTGAATTGCAGTGTTCACCAAAGTCCTGCACTATAACGCCACAGTTTGGATGCTGTGTGCACACAAAGGTTCAGATTTTGCACTAATCCCAGCTTTGCCACTGGACTACAAAGTGACCTCGCGCAAGTCATTTCATCTCCTTGCATCTCTGGTTCTCTATAAAATATGGATAATATGGTCACTTAGGGCCTTTGTAAAGTTTCAACGATGTAAGTTCCCCAGGGGAAGTGATGGAAGTTCTATCTGACAATGTATTCAAGGATTGTAGTACAGTAGAAAAATCTTGACTAGGCAGAGGGAGAAACTGTGCCTTAACAGGAATATTCCACTTCTAACCTCAGTGAAAAAACTCCTATCAAATTTAGATCTTTGTAGTACTGCTTGTTACTGGCTTCCTTAAGCATTTTCATTATGCCTTTATGCTGTGTGTTTGGGCTAGTTGTTAAGTTATTGACATGTGCCAAACTTTCATATATTGCTGCAGTGGTTGTATGTTGGGCTCATCTTTTTAAAAGATGAGTTCCAGTTTCAGGCCCATAATTTGAAAGCACAGTATTGTGGGTCTAGTTAATGTCAGACATTGAAATGTCTCATTTATGAGCACAATCTGGTACTTCAATGTCTAAATTACATTAACTGAGTGTGCAATTATTTGAGTGTCCTCAAAAAATTATTTGAGTGTCCTCAAAAAGGGTGGTCGGGGTCAGGCCACGCAATTATTTGAGTGTCCTCAAAAAGGGTGGTCGGGGTCAGGCCAGTCTCAAGACTTGGCTTTATATGGGAGTTTCAGAGAAGTCACATTATGTTAAGACTATTGTGATTGAGGGATAATTTGGCAGTTAGGTTTCATAGGGGTATATTTGGTTCCCCTGTAATGGCTGATGTCATTTATGAGTCCTTACTTGGAAGGCAGAATAGGCCCACTTTGTCTATACCCTATGGAGTTTGTTGGATCAAAAGACTAGGAATGCCATGAAAAGTTCAGTCAAATCTTAATTGTCTTTCACATTTTAAACACTTCCAGTTGCTGTCTAATTAAGTAATCAATAGGCATATGACCTCAAGACCAAATTTGGTCAAGTATTACATATGTTTCTCTCCTGTTTTAACCTGACTGCATCTTTGCATCATTCTAAATGGAATTCTTTGCCATCCTCCCTCCTCTGTATGCTATGCTCTTTCATTTTCTCAAGGCCTTTGTGAGGGCACTAATGAATTCTTGTTAGTGTTTACTAATGTAAATTAATTCTTTGTTATCCCTGGGAGAGGAGGATTAGTGAAATGACAGAACTTATTATTCCCGGTATTGCTATATAATATTTGCTTTTATTCAGTCCTTAATTCTGTAGTATGCCCCACCAACAAACAAAACACCGATGAACAGTATATATAAGCAAAAACTATGGGAAATGTACTTAGCACAGTGCACAGGAACCGTCATGCCTCCCGTTAACATTAATAAGAATTGTACAGCAGCATTCTTGCATGTTACAATACAATATGTTAATCTAAATTTGAAATAATTCCCAATTTTCTGGGGAAGTTATAATTCCAGTTTCATTTTTAAGTGAAAGCAGCTCACTTGCATTTTTTTTTTAGACTGGCTAGGATATTAATATCCTTCCAATTATTTTAACCTATTGGGAATGCTCCCAACATCTTCGTTAAAGAAACCTTAATGGCTAAGGAGAAGTTTGTAAAATACACATGAAGCATTCATGGTAGAGCTCTTAAAGGACTGATCCTATAAAGATATAAATCACCCAGGCTCCCAACACAGCTATAATTGAATTTTAGAGAAACATGTCTTTACAATAGTTGTTCCTCACTCTAGTGGGCTGAGAAATAAGGAAAATGGAGTATGCACAGCATCAGGGTCCCAAAGTATAAACTGTGAAAGACACATTGACCCATAACCTATAACCATTTAGTCATTCAAATAATTTCATATATAAGGAGTCCATTTGAGTTCAATGGGACTGCTTGTTTGCATAAAGATAAACCCATACATAAATGTCTTATCTGTCTTTTTTTTTTAACTAATAACCCACATAGGTCTATTCCTGAGATATATGACCACCAAATTTAGCACTGAAAATACCTTAACGCCTAATCTATATAAAACCATCTCTTAAAAATGGCAGCTATAAGCCAAAGGAGGGTGGAGGGGGTAGTAGGAGTGCAAAAGTTATTGTAACCCACTTAATTGGTGTCCTTTGCATGTCCCCCTCACTGCTGGATCCACATAAGATGTGAGTCTATTGCAGATCCCAATTTCAGAACCTACCATCTTGAGCTCAAGCTATAAAAGCTCATATTTTCATGCTCTGGAGGTCCCTGGTTCAATCCCTGATGTCAGCCAAGATGGTGACTGTCACACTGGATTACATATCTTGAACCAGATGGAGTTATTGCACCAGCAATGAACATGACCCATTCAGTGGAGCTGAAGTTTAGCGTTAAAAACTATTATCATGTGGTTTGACATATTGACAGAGGACAGAATACCCAAAGCTGCAGGCTGCCAGAGGCCTTTCTGAAATGCTTCAAAAAGTACTGAGTCTTTTGACATAGTATCTGGGGAACATCAGTTAATTTTATAGGCTCAGGATTTGGATCTATGTAATTCAATCTCAGAATTAAGTTATTGTATGAAAGAGGGGACTTGCTGGGCTTTCCAATTCACCAAATGGCTTTCTTTGCCGAAAATAAAAGACAATGTAGATTTCCCTGAACTCAGAGGGGGTTTGCTCAAAACTCCATTAATACTGAAGCTTAACTGAGATTTTTCCACTACAGCAAGACTATTTTTCCCTTGTAATACATGTTCCTCTGGTAGCTCTTTGGCATGGTGCCAGAAAAAAGGACCGGGAGTTCCTATAGTATCTAGGCCTTTATACTTGCCAAAATATAAGTATTCCTTCACTATGTTGATATTCAACTTATCCTGTGGAATTGTGGGGTCTTTTTCATAATATCTGAATAAATGGTAAAGATTGAAAGCATCTCAGAACAGCAGTCTACTCCTATTTAGCAGTTAGTTACCTTGCACAGTTTCGGATAAGTTTTTATATACTGCTTCCAAAAGCAAAATTGCTAAATTCATATGATGCCCTCTCACCAAAAAGTCCTACGGCACACGTCTTACAGTAGCATTTCTGATAACTTTAAACATTTATGGTCAAACCAGACAATCTCTATCAGAGGGCAAGTCTACACAGCAGGGCTAAAGCCAAAATAAGCTACACAACTTAGTTATGTCAAATGTGTAGCTTAAGTCAAAATAGCTTATTTCAACTTTTGGCACTGTCTACACAGCAAGAAGTCGAAGGAAGAGCACTCTTCCTCCGACTTCCCTTACTCCTCATAAAATGAGGGTTACAGGAGTTGGAGTAAGAAGTCCTCCAGAGAGACATTATTTTGACATTATGTCAAAATAACTGCTTGTAGTGTAGACGTGCATTATGTTATTTTGGAATAATGCCATTTATTCCAAAATAACCCTGCTGTGTAGACATATCCAGAGTGTACTTCACATGAAAATCAAAAGATTGTGGTTTACAGACCACTAATGATAAAGAACACACATCAGATTCCTAATTTTAATTCAGGGACAAAATTAGAATTCAAATATGGGACCTGGAAGTAAAAAGTCTAGGCTTCACTCACATAGGTATTCAGCTTTGGTTACCTTGAAGAGATTTACCAACTGACAATTCTGATCTCAGTTACACTCCAGTGTAAATCTGGAATAACTAAATTGCATCAATGAACTAACTTCATATTTACACCAGTGGCTGTATGAATTTCTCCCACAGATTATTTTCTCCCACGAACTTGTAACTACAGTGCAGTAAGACAATAACATGCCCTACCTGGCCATCCACTGTCAAAATAAGGCTTAATGAGTTCTCCAAGTTTTGTCTTGTCTGCAACAGCTTCCTTTAGCAGTTGCCCGCAGCAAACTGAGAGGAAGGAGGAACAAAAAGACACAAGGTTAAATTTTAAAAAGGAAGCAAGCAAGAAGGAGAAAAAAACCCAAGAAGCTGCATATCGGAAAAAGGTCACTGAATAAAATAAAAGTTGTGGGATTTTTTTGGATTTTAGGGTTGTTTTCTTTTGGCCGAGCAAACCAAAAAGCAAAGAGATTGAGCAGTGGAGAATACTGAATAAAAAAGAATACATTTGGCAAGGAACATATTAAAAAAAGAGTCAGAGAGAAAGATACTAATCAAATATGTTACTAAAATAATAACTCAAGGGATGGCTGGTGGGGTATCACTTGTTATAAACTTATAATTACTGAATAAAGTTACACTTGCTGAACAGCTTCTGAACAGCTCTGCTGGAGGTGCAGGATAATATGCAGTTCAGGAAAGTAGCCCCCTGGATCACTTAACAGTCATGTAAGAATTATGTCCATGAAACTGTGCTAATACAATATGATGGTTCAGAGTTCCAATAAACAGAACACCATGAAATTTAGAATTAAGATACTGACCCAGGACCACATCATATTGACACCTTTCATCTAAGCAAATTATTTAAACCTCGTTACCACTACAGGAGTTAGATTCCTTTTATCCTTGTTTTAGAGAGGGATAAGCTAAGGCATGGAGAAGTTCTGATTTGCATAAGATCACATTTACTCCTAATTCCCCATTGTCTGTGCTAAATACTAGATTAAAAATCCCTTTTTACGCACTACCGCATGGTCTTTTTGTACATAAACATGGGACTATTTTATGGAAAAATAAAATGCAAATTGCATAACTAGATGAAATATTAAAACATTAAATCAAACTTCAATCTTATAAAGTTCACAAAAGTATATAGAAATATCCAAAACATGAAGAATTTAAAGAAAAATGGTAATCAAGCAATTTTATTTTTGATTAGTCCAATGACAGTCATTATTGCATTAAAGGATAAAGCTTTTTAAAAAAAAAATACTAAAATATTTTAAAAATAAAGTAACATAATGGAATTAACATATTTCAAGGCATATTGAGGTTTTACTAATTCTATTTGCAGATTTAATTTTTTATTATATGGATTTTAAAATAAGGCTTCTTTTCTTTTTTTAATTTGATTAGATACCATTTGTTAACTATTTGTGGTGTATTTTTTACCATTTAAGTAAAATTTTAACTGTTCAAAATAAAAAATTCAATGACCACATCTCCAGCTGGTGCAATTTCAGCACAGCTTCATGTCTTCGGTGGAGCAACACCAATTTATACCTACAAAAGAACTACACAGAAAATGTTTTCCTGTAGTTGCATGAGCCCACTTTTAGGTGTAATCCATATAGGGAACTCATATTGAACTCAATGCAGGTTCTGAGCACACAGCATTTACAGGATTGGGCTCCAACTAAGATTAGTGTAAATGGCAAGGTTGGTCAAAAATCTTCCTGATGAAACAATTTTGATAGAAAAGTGTGCTTTTCAACAAAATAATTTTTATTTTGCAAAAGGTGTCTGCCTTCTGCAAAAAGTTTTGAATGGTCAAAAAATTCAAAATGTAAGAAGAGGTTGTTTTCTATCTAAATTTTTTTCTTCATAAAAAGCCAACATTTTCCACATAAAATTTGGACAAAAGCTTTTTTTTGTTTTCACCTCCATTTTTAATGATCCCTCCACTCCCATTTTCTGATCCACAACAACAGAAGTAAAAAAGATCCTGCAGTTCTTATTCACAAGACTGCTTCACTGAGTACCTGATCAAGGTCTCATTGAATTCTTTCCGTTGATGTCAGCAGGAGTTCAGTTAAGTCCATAGGACTCATCACAGTAATACATAAGGCAGGATCAGGCCTCCAGTTGTCTTTTTTTCTTCACTACTTATTATTTCTGGTTATTATTGTAGAGTTGGTTTACATTATACTAATGAAATCTGCTTAAATATTACTTGAAGAAGAAGACCTCATCAGCTATGCAATTTTAGTCACAATTCCTTTATTTTAAAAAGCTGCAATTTTTCCAATATTACAAAATATTACACAGTGCGACTGCAAATTACATTGATTACATTGCCCAGTTGCATTCTATTTATCCTACTTTCAAGCACTTGATATTATGAACATGTAGCAGAACAAGCCCAATGTGATGTTTTCTGGGTCTCCCTTATAAAAGGCAGAGAAAAATCATTTTTATGTTTGTTTCCGTTTTCAAAATTATATATTTTAAAGGTACAAAAACTAAGAGTCGTCTTCCCATTTCAGAACCACTTTTCTTTTAAATGCCTCCCAATATTGAGTAGACACGTGAAAGTGCAAAGTCATTATGCAAGACATACTGATGCAATGGAGAATTCAGAGCACTACATACTGTTCACAGAAGTATCTCTGGTGTATAACACATGAAAAACTACTGATCTAAGGGGTATAAAAAATGATGACTAAAAAAAGGTTGCAGCTAGTTTGGCACAGGATATATGTTTTTATTGGTTAATATTTTTTTATTGCTAGATTTTCCAGCCCCCCTGCAAAAAGTTTGACATCCACAGTGATGGACTAACAGAGAAATTTTATGAGTGAGTAAGAAAGAAAGACAGCAAAAGATAAATGATCAAAAGCAGAGAAAGAGGGAATAGAGCAAAGTGCATATTTACTGAGAACTTACTGTTGACAATACCATATTTCTGAGCTATTAGTGCTGCCTGCAGGCTCTTCCCACTGCCTGGGGGTCCACAAAAGAGAATCCGTGGTATAAACGGGGCAGCTGATCGGCACCGGGTTTGGACATAGGTCAGAACTAGAAAGATAACACCAGAATAAAGCCAGATGCCAATAAAGAAAAAGAGTTAAAATACAGTTACTTTTGCTTTCTTAAGAGAAACAATAATTGATTTATTTATTTATAACTACAAAATTAATATCATCATCATTTATTTGTATTACAATGAATCAAGATCTGGGCTCCAAGCTATCTGACATCCTTGCACTTAGCTACACTTACCATGCAAGCTTCAGGGGAATATCATTACATGTAATAGTAATAGTTATGATAGTTTCTAAACAAATAGAAACAATAATTATGTAAAAGGCAGGATGTCAAGTTGTCATGACACTTCCCTAGCTTCATATGTGATTAATGCACTTTTGTTTAGTGTGTTTTAAATTTTCATGGCACTAGTGAGTCAGGACACAAAATAGCATTGAGGTATCTTATTATATGTGATTTTATTCCTGTGCACCTCGTTTTCACAGAAAGGGTAAAGACAACATCATGGTTTTAGCACAGCTCCTCTCTCTCTCTTTATTTTTGCTGATCTTGCTTTGTATTGGGTAGGAAACTATTAATTTTATATTAGTCTAGGGGTCCATTCCCTGAGAATTTTGAAAGGGTTATAGACCTTGTAAAGTATAATTCAAATTGTTGCATTACAGTGATCCCTACTTTGCTGCAGCCCCAGAAGAAAAGTTGATAACATAGGTGAGGCTGGTGAGCAAGAACATACAGTAAGGTTTAGCTGTTAATGAAGATATTTTATCATCAGAATATTGGGAACACAGTCTTCCAAAGTGCTGAGTCCTTCAACTCCCATATTCGTTTCAGAATCAGGCCCCTGAAGTACAAGGAGAAGTAAATATGCAATGTTGTTGTAAATGTGATGGCCCTAGGATATTAAAAAGAAGCAAGATGCTACCTCACCCACCTAGTTTCTCTAAAGAGACATACACCTGTTTAAACAAAACTCTAAATTTCCCAAGTTACACACTACTGCATATTATATGGAAGATACAACTGAATGTCTGAATGACTATATCAATCCAGATAACCTTAAATGCAAATAGATTCAATGATGATGCAATGGAGTAGCTGTGATACACGCTGTATTTAAGTTTAAAAAAATTGGTACAAGAATCCAAATCTTAGTAATTGATTTTCCTCTTAAGAGTAATACCATATTTTAAACAAGTTATTTTCCACTCAATTTGGCATTTTAGGCGATTGGTGCTTTAAACTAGCATATTACATGCTTGAGAAAGACTAATATATACTTGTTTAATGATTCCCCTTTGTGTCTGATTTCCGGATCCTTATATCTCTTACTGTAGAAAAAAGCCAGAACAGCACATTCTAGTTCTCACATTTCTAGCTCCTGAACTGGGAGTAGTTGCTCAGAAGCACTTGAATCATATTGCAACTGCAGAGGATACATTCCTTACTCCCAAACCACAAGCTATGGTGTTTACTGCACAGCTGAGATCACTGAATATATTGGCTGAGAGTCTGATCTCACACCAGAGTAAATCAGGAACAATTCCAATGAAGTTATCTGAGTTGCATTGGTCTATAAATGGGTGTTAGATCAGAATCAAACCATCAGTTCCAAAAAAATCTAACAAAGTTGTAATTTCTTAACTCCCTTACTCATCCACATCTATCATTAAACATACAAATTAAATATACAAATCTTGAAAATCATAATCTATTTATCAGATGATTTATCCAAAAACAAATGTCAGCTAACCATGGAGGACTGTAGTTATTCTAAGCACTTTCCACAACCAGGGTATCCAAAAGCACAAACATGACTGGCAAACCACCCTGCTTACAAATGATGCTTAATTTGCAGTAAATAACCAAGTTAATTAGGAGTAATGATCCCCTAGACAGTCTCCACATCTAATTATTCCTTAAAAAAAATCTGGCTGCTTGATGCACTGCAGAAAAAGATCTAGAGAGGATTTTTTTCATTCCAATTTTCAATTTATCTCACTACATTATTAATTAATAATAATTAATATTCAGGCACTCACATTTTTATTTACAATTCATGGCATGAATTCTTTATGAATTATGATATGAACTTTTAAATTTAATTAAGTAATTTAGAAGTAATTAATGTGTAAATTCCAAATATAAACTTCCTAGTTGTTTATCTTAAAAGTGCAGCACTTGTCATTAAAAAAGACCTTTTTGAGATGCAAAAAGACCATCAAAAGGCTGACATATACAAAGTACATTACCAGTTGGTCTTCCCAACAATTTTCTTATTTTTTCCCCATGAAGAAGCAATATGCAATAGCATTATTCATTGAAGTTGAACAAAAGCAAACAAAGGACTATCACATAGCAAATCTATCAGTGTAAGCAACTTTTATACAAGGAAATACAACCCACCCTGAACTATTACTACTTGTTAATAGCTAGGAGGCGTGCAGGTAATAGTTGTACAGAAGACAATCAATGTTTCCAGTAAGTGCACCCGATACTGAATGCTTTTATGACTGCAGGTCTAAGCTTCCCCATCACTTAGGAAATAATTTTACAACCCTTATTCACATTGCATCCCGATTGGGACTATTCTTATGAGTAATGTTATTCACTGTGAGTAAGGGTTGCAGAATCAAGAAGACCCTCCATTCAACCATGCTTGTTTTAACCAGCAAAGGAGCTGTCTGGAACAGACCAAACTCAGCAGCTTGCAAGGAACTCAACTTAATTAGAAGCAGTCAGCACTGACTGTTACAACTGAGCTCTTAGTCGGCACAATTATCTCTAAAGGTTTGTCAGCTATCAAGTTTCCTTCTAACTGTAAATAATCAATATTTACCCTGGGACAAGATGTCTGCACAAGGTTGGTCAGCATTGATTGATTTTAAGATTTGCTGATAGATCTGGAAAACTCTGGGAAAGTTTCTATGATACTCCAGCAGGTGCTTTGCCGTCTCCTGTTCAGATATGCCTTCTGCCTCCACCAAACGCTGTTGCACTAGAAGGTCGCTTGGCCAGTCAAAGGTAGTATGGTACACCTCTAGATGTTAAACAGTAATTAGGACCCATTAGGAAAAAGAATTTGATAGAACTTGTTCAGCTTGCAAAAAGGTTCCTTGCCATAAGCAAGGTCTAGAATCTAGCAATGCCTGAGGTTGGGGCATAAGAAGAGGGGAAGCACAGTGACTTCTTCCTAACTACTACTGCATAGCTCCACAAAGAAGACAGGCAGTGGCAGAGAGAGCTAATCAGCCATGGGGCAGTGGGGGAGAGGTATGTTTGTGTCCCTTATTGGGGTGCAGCAGGGTGCCAGGACACAGTGGCATCTCCAGAACAGACCTATGCCTATCTGGTACCATCAAGCCTTTAATTAAGAATACTTTGCACTTTCCTAGAGCCTTCCACCTAAAGATCTCCAGACACTTTTAAAGTATTAAAATATTGATTCTTATAACATAGCTGTAAGATAGGATGTTATCTTTGTTTTCCAAGTGGGGAAACTGAGGCTCAGGATGGTGACATAATTTGCCCAGCGTTACATAAGAATGCTGTGGCAGACTGGGAATAGTACTTTATACTCCTGACTCCTACCCTAAACTTTTACCAAGTCTTCTCCAGGAAAGCAAATAAAAGTCATCTCTTTAATTCAGCATGTCCTTCCCAAAGCCGCTCCTAAAACAACTGATATGGGTTCTTGTGGAGCACCCAAAGCGTGCCATCTGCAACATTGCCATTTCCTGTTGGCTCTTCTAGTGGGGAGCACACAAAGTAGAGATTACCCAAAGGTGTTACTGCCTTTTATGGAGAAGCAGACATTCAACGGCTATCAAAGATGCTAGGTAAAACAGTAAAATTCTTATAGTGTGATCACACGTTAGGTGACCTGTGATATAGTAAGAATGTTAAACTGCAGTTAATTGATTAGTCGAGTAGTCGATGGAATTTCCACGGGGGCTCTTGTACATTTCAAACGAGGAATGTGGAACTCCACGTGCTGCTGGGGGCTAGCGGGAAGTCCCGCTGACTCTGGGCTGCATGCAGCTGTGCCTGCTTTGAAATGTACAAGGGTCCCCAGGAGAGGCCCTTGTGCATTTCAAAGCCATGGAGCCCAGAGTTAGTGGAGGACTGAGTCCTCCACTGATCTCAGGCTCCATGCTGTGCTGCATGCTGCGTGGAGCCCGGGGTCAGCTGGGGAGTCCCCAGCTGACCCCAGGTTCCGCGCGACAACACTTCCCCAGAACCCAGGATCAGCTGACCCCGGTTCCACTGAAATGCCACAAGGAGCCCAGGGTCAGCTGGGGAGTCTGGGTTCTGGGGAAATGCCTCTCAGAACCTGGAGTCAACTGGGCAGTCCCCAGTGGACCCCCGGCTCCTCGGCAGCTGCCCCTTTGAAACACTGCCTTGGGGTTTCAAAGCGGCAGGGCCACACAGCTGTGCAGCGCTGCTGCTTTGAAGTACCCCTTTTTCCCCCCTCTTTGCTGCCTCTATCTGAGAGCAGCAGGCAAGGGGGGCGGGGAAATGGACTAGTCTTTAACATATATACATAATATAGCAGTGCTGCGTGCCACAAAACCAGTCTTTACAAATATTTCCTCTGCTATATTGGTGCAGAAAGTGATACCCGTTTAATTTAAAACAAAAGTGTATCTGGTTCAGAATTACATTGCCTCCTCACATTGTAAAGGGTCAGCATTAAAAGTCATCTTTAAAAGCATCAATGTTTCAATGTCTCTTGGTCTGACACAAAAATGTTCTCCTAGAAGGTATCAGAAACAAAAACATACACCACCTTTTGTGGATGGATCAATCCTTTTCCCAAGGTTCCTCTCAATCAGCACCATATCTGGAGCATACAACACAACTAAGCATAGAAGAAACAAAATAGAAATGCATTTTCAGTTAGTTACTGATTTCATTTCCTAGAGCTGCTTCCAAGTGCACTCTACAAGCAAGGAGGGATTGATGCAATTCATGTACATTTAGCCATCTTCCCCATTTGTAGCATTTTTTCTTATTTCCTTGCATTTTATCTACGAACATTTGATTTTGGAGGGAAAGTTTGATCAAAACTATTAGTCACACGGCACTTTTAGGAAGAAATATATTGTGCTAAATACAAAGCTCAATTTAGTACATTCTGTGATGCAAAAATCTTGCTTCTTTATGGTCATTCACTTACTAAATTCAACTAATTTAGTCATATGCATTCAATCTAACAAGGTTCTTCTTCATTTATGTTTTTATTAAGGGTGCTATTTTTTCTTGATTATACAGATAAAACTGAGATAATGTGACCACCACTGTTAGCTGCCTTCAAAAATGATAGTTTAAACACATGTACTACATACAAGTACCATCCAATGTACATAGTTTTCCAAACACTACCAAAGTGATTCTGAATTCCTTCACTAATAGTAGAATTGTTTACATATTTTCCACTCCAAGTAGCAAATTATCATGTCACTATTGACTACAACTAGAGCTGGTTTATTACTCACACTTGAGCTGCAGGGTTTTGAAATTGTTTTCATCCCCCCCTCCATTTTCATTTTTCTCGTGTATTTTGGATAAATCCCTATCTAATAATGATTTGGAAATGCAGACACCGTCCCAAGGTGGGGAGTGCAGGAGCTAGGGTCTTGTCCTTCAAGGCTCTGCCACTATAGAATTATCTTTGCTTTGGCATACCCAAAATTCCACCTGTGGCATGAAAGGTCAGGCATAAGGCCTGGATGTTTCCATTTCATTTTGTGTGTGTTGAGCAAATTGTATTTATTATTCTATCATACAGAGGGAATGGCTTGGGGGCTCCTTTAGATCCTTTTTGCTCCTAGGGATCAATTAAAACAGAATCCTTGAGATTTGGGTTCTGAGATCAGAGGAGCTTTGGACTCATTGGTGAGGCAGAGAGGCATAGCTGTTTACAGTCACTTGCTAGAAGAGATTTGAATTTGCTGGTTTAGAGGTAGGTAGTGGGCTCCGAAGTAGTAAGAAAACAAAGGTTTATTTAGGAAAGTGGGGTAAATAATTCAAACAGACCACCCCAAAGTTTTGGAAGGCCCGGGCTCCATTTAGCCATCCCCTCCAGTCTGGGACTGTTTCTGGTTTGCTTTGGACTCTTGGGCATGTTTGACTCATATATAAAATACTGGTTTTAACATTTAAGATGTTTTTGTTTAGGTCACCTTTGACACAAAAACATTAGAAATCGGGTATTTCTTACCAACATGTCTTGGAATGATGCCAGATGATTGCAGAATCCAAGCTTGGTCCCGGTTTTCAGGTATACCTTCCAAAATCCATCCCTATTGCACAAAGCATTAAAGAATTATTCATCCAAACAAAGAGAATCTTAACAATTAAATCCTAGGACTAAAAATCCCATTTGTTGAAAACAGACTAATTCTAATTTTAATTTCACATCAGTGTAAATCAGGAATAAATCATGCATTTAGACCAGGGTTTCCCATATGTTTCTAGAAAACATATCCATTTCCTAGACTAAAACATCAGTTAACATGTGAATCTCCTACCTCTGTGAAACACGGAATTATCTCACCTGCTCAGACAAGAGAAATTGTAACTTCCTTTGATTTATTGTGGTTCTTTCCTAGTGGACAAATTCAACCTATGATTTTTTTTAAAAAAGAGGTTTTGGATTGTAATTGTATACTAATCCTAAAAAAAGGGGAGGTTTTGGAGAATTGACATATTCAGTGTATTCTTCCAAAAAATTGTTTAGTACAATCCTCACAAACCTCTGAAATGAATGACTAATGAAGACTCTTCCACACTGTGGAATAGCATATCACATGCAATGAGCAGAGTGTAACTATAAGTTTGATATTTTAAAAGCTCCATAGATTCAGTACGGGGCACTTCTGAGATGTTCTGCATGTTGAGATGATTTGATTACATCTACAGATCATGGGAGACCCATTCTGTAAGGTGTCAAGACTACTTGATTCTCAATCAATTGAAATTAATGAGATTTAAGGACATCCTCCCCCATGAATTGAGCCCTTGGTAATATTGCTAGTTACATCAAGTTATCTCTTGAATATTTCTCTGGAAATAGCCTGGATCCTTGGATCTGACTGACCTATGCTCAACACAGGACATCAGAGGGTGAAGAGTAGGAATGTAACTGGTCACTGGAAGGGACAGGGGCTGCTCCACATTTAACCAGTTAACTAATTAAAGTGGATTTTACATCCCTAGTGGAGTGGGGGAGGTCAGTTCATCCTCTGCATGTGTCAGAGCAGCCTCAGCACTGCTCTAGTGTAAATGTCAGGTGGGAATACTTGGAGTATACCACATTCTATCCAAGCTCACTGACTTTGGCGTAACCCTAGTTGAAGGTGAAGATGGATTTTAGAGATTAGAACAGACTAGCTGTAAAACAGTCTTGATTTTTTCTTTGGTGGGGGAAAACTTCAGATGTCTGCTAAGGACAGCTTCATGACCCCCTTCTGCCAGCAGAACTGTACAAAGGGGTCATAGCATGGACCAAGGCTTGGCCCTATGCCTAGTTCATGGGCAGCTGGTGAAAATTCCACTTGGGGAGGCAGTAGCTTCCCAGGCTAGGCTCCACGCCCTTTCCTGCCCAGGCCTCGCCCCCTTCCCACAGTCTTTCCTGCACATCCTGTATCCCTGCTCACTGCATGCTTGTCCCCTTCCAGCCAAATCCCTAATCCTAAGAAAATTATTTTTTAAACCCCCCCATCCCACTTTTCTGAAATTGCATTCTCAACAAAATGGAACATGATTTGTACCATGTACCAGACATGTAGAAGGTACCTAATTAACAGCACTAAAATTGGGCAAATTGCTCCAGCATCATACAATGGGAGGAGGAGTCTTCTCATAAAGTCCCAAATTAAAATTATCCTGTAATCCAGGAGCAGTGGCTACTGCATGAATAATGCAGAAAGTTTTTGAAACTGTAAAAAACACTTTGCAAAATTGCACTTCTCGGCACTTTCCATCTGATGACATCAAAACACTGAACTAAAACCAATGAATTTACACAAACTCCTGTGAGGCAGGCAAGTATTATCATCCCTTTTTTCTGATGGAGATACTGAAGCACAAGATAATTAAGTTTCTTATCCACTGTTTGTTTTTTTTAATAAGTGGAAAAACTCCCCTTGAGACCAAGCCTTAAATGATGGGTCTGTTATAGGAAGGCCATTGAGAAAACCCCTCATCTTCACATTTCTAGCAGAGGGGAGCACAGGCCACTGGCTGTAGTGAAGTGCAGGATAACCCTGAACCCCCAGCTTTCCCCAGTATAGGAACTCCACAGTGAAGCTACACCTGACCCTAACACAGTGTAAGGGTTGGCCCTGCCCCTCTGTGATGTGACTGGGCAGATGTGTCTGAGCAGCTCAGCCCTGCATGATCCAAGTGTGGAGGGGGTTACAGTGGGGGGATCCGAGTGTGGGGCAGTCTGGGTGCACGTGGGCTCATTGAGGGGTTTGGTGTAGGGGCAATGGGACGCTAGTTTAACTCAGTGGAGGAACCAAGAGGAGGCAGGGTTTGATGGGGGATCCAGGTGCTAAGGAAGTGGGTCTCCATAGGATATGGGGTCCAGGTGCAACTTGCTGGGGCTCAGTGGGCTGGGTGTGTGCAGAACTTGTTGGATGAGTCCAGGTTTATGGGGGAACAGGGATTGTCAGGGTGAGGGTTAGATGGGCCTGCTTAACCAGGGAGCTCCAACTGCTGCTGAGAGGATACTGCATGCTGGACTCCTCTCCCCTCCGCGCCCCTCCTCCCCCCACAATTCCTCATCCCCTTTTCTTCTCCACCCCTCTCTCCTCATTCCCCATTCCTTCTTCCCCCCACCTCCCTCATGCCCACCTGCCCACCCAGAAAACTCCATTGCAGGTCATAGAAAACAGGAAGTATGGTGGGAGAGGGCAAAAAGGGGAGGGGACTGGGCAGCTATCTCTGCAGGGATTAGGGTTGCCAGGTCTCCGGTTTTGAACTGGACAGTCCGGTATTTGAGCTGTCTGAGAAACAAATTGAGAAAATATAAATGAGAAAATAGAAATGTCCGGTATTTTCTAAATAAGATGTAATGTAGATTGTGATGTAATGTCAAGTGTGTCTGGTATTTTTGTTGAAACCATCTGGCAACCCTAGCAGGGCTCTAATTGGAGCCTTATGTCTGTGCCATGCAGGTTCAGGGATGGGATGCTGAGGAGGCTCCCTGCTTTTCTGCCTTCCCAACCACCCTGGAACCCGCCTGAACTGCACTAAGTATTCCTCAGCAACCCCAGGTGGCAGTTGGAGACAGGGAGGGGCAGGGCCAGCTCAGCTCCAGCTTTGGATAGGCTGTGCCTTATTTTGCCTTACAAACTAGAGGTAGGGTTACCAGGTAGACCTCTCCAAAAAACCAGAGTTCGGATTAGGAAGCCTAATCCGAACTAGCTACTCCATGCCGCGTGTAGCCGTGCGGCACGGGGTTCGAACTAGCCGAGATTTAAAAATGGCGGCGCCCGGCTTATGCAAATGAAGCCCGGGAAATTCAAATCCCGGGCTTCATTTGCAAGTGCGGTATGCCTACATTACCCTCCTAGTTCAAATTAGGAGGGTAGTGTAGACATACCCTAAGCTCCTGCCTTGACTCCTACACTCCCCACACTTCCAGCCTCCTGCCCTGCAGGTCCTGAGAAATGCCAAATAAGTCTTCTAGTACTGGTATAACCATGTCCACACTAGAGTTTGTACTAACATCTATATTAGCAAATCAAACCAAAACAAAAATCACACCCTTAACTAATATAGTTATACTGGTACAACTTTTGAGTATTATTGGTTATATCAATAAAATCTCTTCTAAGAATAGGTCTGGCTGGACGGAAGGAGGGGGGACGGGAAGCAGAGCTGGCGGGGGGGAGGGAGTCCACTCCGGGTGGAGCCGGAGTCTAACAGGCTGCGTCCCTGGCAGGCACTCCCTCTGGTTGCTAGTAGAAGCCGGGCGGAGGCAGGGGGAGTGGCTGGGGGGCACACCCCCCCCCCCCCCT